ATAATAATAATAATAATAATAATAATAATAATAATAATAATAATAATAATAATGATGATGATGATGATGATGATGATGATGATGATGATGATGAAGAAGAAGAATTAATACTGTTTCCCTGAAAATAAGACCTAACTGGAAAATAAGTCCTAGCATGATTTTCCAGGAGGCTCGTAATATAATTCCCCCCCAAAAAAAACAAGGGGCCAGTTAAGATTGTCAGTCAAATGGATGCATTAAGTACTGTATTTCCCTGAAAATAAGACCTAATCAGAAAATATCATCTGAAATAATTTTTATATAAAGTATAGCAATAGTATTTACACTTATATACCGCATCAGTGATTTACAGTGACCCTATAAAGTGGGTCAGCATATTGTCCCCCAGCCATCTGGCTCCTCATTTTACCGACCTCGGAAGGATGGAAGTCTAAGTAAGCCTTGAGCCTGTCAGGATCAAACTCTGGCAGTGGGCAGAGTTAGTCTGCAATACTGCATTCTAACCACTGTGCCACTACTGCATGAATGAATGAATGGATGGATGGATGGATGGAATCATCAAAAGGACCACTGAGGAGTACAGAAGAGGTGAAGCCACATTCTATAACTCAGGAAAAAAAGCAAGAACTGCAGAAGAACCCAAAAACTTGATGTATCATTGTTCACTAACATTTCAATCATCTAAAAAAAAAAAACATATTTATGATAACATAACACTTAAAACTTATACACTGTTTCCTAGCGGTTTACAGAGTCAGCATATTACCCTCAACAATCTTGATCCTCATTTTGGCAACCTCGGAAGGATGGGAAGGCTGATTCTACCTTGAACTGGTCAGGATCGAACTCATGGCAGTGGGCAGAGTCAGCCTGCAATACTGCATTCTAACCACCTACAGCGTTTTTAGGCAGTGAAATCCCTGATAGTATTTCTCGATGCTGACAACTTTAAGATGTGTGGATTTCAACGCCCAGAATTTTGCAGCCAGTATGAATTCTGGAAGTTGAAGTTTACTAATCTTGGAAGTTGCCATGGTTGAGAAACACAATCCTGGATCCATGATTGCTAGGTGAAATACAAGCATGATTTGTTTTTAAGTTTGTATTAAAAATTAAGACTCCCACTTCCTTCCTACAGGACTCATGCCTTGCACCAACTCACCGCGTCCCCAGCGCATCCAAACACTGTAACTTTGAGGATTATCTTCTTCCAACAATTGTATGATATAATACTTATTATTATTGAATTGTAGATTTGTCTGCAGGAAGTCAAAATGGAAAAAAAAGAAGCTGGTCAGAAATGAGAAAACAACACCTTGTTCCATTTCCATTCCATGTACTGCTTTCTGAGCTGTCTTCTGAACAAACCTTTATGAAAGGTCGGGCTTTCATGCAAATACTCTATTTTTCGGAGTATAAGATGCACTTTTTCTCCCCTAAAAGAGGGCAACAATTTGGGTGCGTCTTATACACTGAATGAAGCGCCCTTCGCTCTTCCGCCTCCATGTGTCGTGATTTAGACTTGTTCCAGGCTGCAGTGCCCCCTCCGTGGCTTCCGTTTTTGCCCTCTGTGGCTTATGCTTTCAATCTCTGAACACTGTGAGACTGGTTCAAGGCTGCGGGGATCACCAGAGCACTTCGCTGCCAATTGCCGCCTCCGTGCATCACGTTTCCAGCCTCTGCGCATCGCATTCTAAGCCTCCGCACGCCCTGCTTTCGGCTTCTGTGCGGGGTGTTTTTTGGTGGCGATCGGCGGCAATGCGCTTTGCCGTTCCCTGGTCTCAAATGGAGCGTTTGTGAAGTAGTAGTAGTAGTTTGTGAAGTGCTTACGACTGACAGCCGGCAACAGCCAAGCCGCACCTGATTGGCTAAGGCACGGCTGGCTGAGCGCGAGCTGCCGGTCACGCACCTATTGGTCGTCCTGCTTGACAGCTCCGTATAAATAGCTGTCAAGCAGGGCGAGGTGCTGAATCGCTACTTACTAGTTGTGTTGATTCCTCTGCTTGCAATAAAGCTGTTTACCTTACCTCAGGCGCCTCCTGCCCCGTAATTCCTCGGTCTACTTCACTGGCGACGAGGACAAAACAGTTTGGAGGCTGGAAACGCAAGGCGCAGACTCCAGAATGACAACCCGGAACAACTGCTGCTTTGTCTGGCCACTTCTGCGCTTCACCTGCTTGACTCACTGGAGCTCCTTGTGACAATCAGCTGCGTTTTTGAAGCTGCTATCAGCCTCAACCAGGGCTCACAACCAGCGAACTAATGTGTTGAAGCTGACCAGGCTGTTTGCTAAGGACTCTGGGTGGATGCTGGTTAGCCAGAGGCAGATTTTTTTTTTCTTTCTTATTTTCATCCCCCAAAGCTTCTATTCCAGAGCGTCTTATACTCTGAAAAATACGGTATTACTCCAATCTCTCCAGGGGAATTTTGTTCTGTAGTGTGATAGGAAGCCAGCTGAGGAAGCGGGGAGCCCAAATTTATCAATAAGCTTCCCCTACTACATCAGTGGTTCTCAACCTGTGGTCCATGGGGGGGGGGGCACAATGCTATCACAGGGGGTTCGAAAAGGCTTGGAAAAAAATGTTATGATTTAAATCTTGAGTATCTTAAGCCTTGGGGGTCGGTAGCCACAAAAGGTATTTAAAAAGGTTCTGTGGTGAAGAAAAGTTTAAGTTTAATAAACTTATAGGCTGCCCAATCCCGATGGACTCCGGGCAGCTTACATAAAAGACAATTGAAAAAGTACTAAAAAGTTTAAAAAGTAAAAGACAAAGCAGGTTAAAACACAACACACACTCAACCGTAGTGGGGCTGGACCCCATTCAAGAGGTCAACAGCCCCAGGCCTGCCAGAAAAGCCAGGTCTTAATAGACCTTTTGAAGGCTGCGAGAGTGGGGAGGGTCTGGATCTCTGGGGGTAGATCGTTCCATAGGGCCAGAGCAGCTACAGAGAAGGCTCTCCCCCAAGGAGCAGCCAAATGACATTGTCTAGTTGACGGCAACCGGAGAAGGCCCACCCTGTGAGAAAGGCTGAGAATCACTGACCTATATTCCTTGGGAGTTTCTAGTTCTGTCTTTCCTGCCCCTTAGGATGGCTTATATGCTTCTCCCCACAATTTTGTCTTCCAGATTATCTTACTAAGAACAAGAGATTTAAAGATAGGCCTTGTCTAACCTTTTGTGGGCTCGGCAACTAAGATTGAGGCATGAACCTACTTCTCCCCAACTGAAGTCCAATCTTTTTTCTTTTTTTTTTAAACCTGGCAGAATCTCTTGATTGGGTGAAAAAAAAAATCCAAAACAGATGATAGGGTGCACTCACTTGGTTCAACATAACATCATAAGTATCCTCTGCGTCACAGTAAACGTGAGCCTTTGGAAAAGGGAAGGAAAAGGGAAGTTATTCAATGCCCAGGAATTTTTTTAAAAAATAAATGATAAAGAAAGCCTCTTTTAAGCTAGACAACCTATGCAGTTTCCTTGGCTGAAAAAATACAGTTATCTTCTTCCAATTTGCTAATCTGGTCTACAGCCCTAGGACTTCCTTGCAGGGCTCCATCAAGTCACCAAAAAGTTCCAAAAAAGAGACTTAAGAAGCAGCTTGGGAAAAAAGTTTTATTTTGGCTAAACAGCTGGGTGGACAGGTCCACAGCATACAGGCTGCAAGCAGGCAAGGAAAAAGCTACACCGGAGAAGAGTGTGGCAAGCATCTTATACATTCATCTACCCAGTCAGAACAAAAGTTTGTTACCCATTCCTTGACCCTGTCCTAAATATGCCTTTGTTATCTACAGAGAATTCCTCGTAGGGCTTCTTCGCCGTCTTATCTATTTTGATTTCACCTTGGGCAGCTTTGCGTTATGCTCTCTCTTATCTACTGGACAAGGCTGCGCCTGGCGCCACCTTAGAAGCAATACACAGAAGCGAGAAGGCGGGCAAGAAGATAGCAGGGGATAAACTAAGGGGAATTTGCAATAACTATGCAGGACGCGCTGACCCTGCAATCTGCTGTGCTTTTGCAAGACAAAAATCTAGAGAAGAAAGAGAAGAAAGGGGGGGTAGGAAGGAGGGAGGAAAGCAAGGAGGGAAGCAAGGAGGAAAGCAAGGAGAGGAGGAGGGAAGGAAGGAGGGAAGGAAGAAGAGGAGAGAAGGAGGGAAAGAAGGAGGGAAAGAAGGAGGGAAGAAGAGAAGGAGAGAAGGAGGGAAGGAAGAGGGAATGTAGAAGAGAAGGAATGTAGGAGAGAAGGAAGGGGAGAAGGAAGGGGGGAAGGAAGGAGGGAAGGAAGAAGAGGAGAGAAGGAGGGAAAGAAGGAGGGAAGAAGAGAAGGAGAGAAGGAGGGAAGGAAGAGGGAATG